GGTTAGGGTTAGGGTTAGGGTTAAGGTTAGGGTTAGGGTTAGGGTTAAGGTTAGGGTTAGGGTTAGGGTTAGTGTTAGGGTTAGGGTACACTTCTGTAGTACAAGTCTGGTACACTTTGTGTATACATATATGTACCTCGGGTACATATCTGTAGTACCTGTTACGACAACGACCCCTTGAGCTCTACTACCCGCCTTTAAATCGGAGCACCGTGTTACACTGACGCCATGTAAGTCGTTGAAAGTCAACAGACTGCGGTCACGCATATGGGGGCTCAGTCAAGCACGCCGTCGTACGCTGTGACTGTATACGACACGATGGGTGGGGATGCCACCCACACCGCCGGGCTGCGTGCGTGCGTCTGTTTAGTTAATCTCACCTGCCGAGAATGTTATAACAGACTTCTCTGCAATCAGTTCCAGATTTCCCCGCAACATTACAGTTCTTTATCTCTAAAGAAGACGGGGACGCTGAGGGGGGCGGGGCAACGCTATAGCGCACGATACGTATCTGGTCTGCAGATGAATAAACACGAGGTTGGGAGGCGGGAGCACACGCACGGGCGCGAGTGAAAAACACCATGAACCCTACTCTCTGCTTCTTCTTCCGGCTAGCATCATCTTTGCTTCATTTTCCTATATAAAATCCGTGCAGGTTGAAATGTATATTGACTTTTACGTTTTTATATTTGGTTTTTCTTGATCTAATCTTAATCATTCAGAGTTTAATCGAAATGAACTGAGGCACTTCCGATAGACTAGACGGGAAGTTTTATCCAAAATCGTGCCAATGTACTATTTACTACCGATTAGTTATGATTTAGGACATTAAGAAGAAGAGAAAGGAGGACATAACTGACTTATGCGTCTACTATGCTCTTACCAGAGTGCGAAATTAACGGAGTCCGGAGTCAAATACTCCCTGATTTACTGCCGGCCTCCCTGATTTGACATATGCAGGAGTCCGTGTGACTCCCTGAAAATTCTGCCATACTAACTAGTTCATTCCAGAGCACGGCCTCATGGAATTACCGTATTTTTTCAGCAAATCAAATGTCCAAAAAAAATTTGGCAGAAGATGTCCAAAAAAAATCTTGATGTCCAAAGAAAATGTCCAAAGAAATCTTCAAAGTAAGCACATGCGTTGTTAATATCTTTAATTTTGAACTTCAGACTGCGGACTCCCTCTTTTTGAGGGCAGGGAGTTGTTCAAAAGTTAATTTCTACCCCTGTCTTACCGTGGCATCAATTTCAAAGCATTACGTAAGGCGGGGCAAATTATATGGGCATTTGTCCCTACGACAACTGCAAGCATTTTTTCTACAACAAGAACCTCGCATGAGGTAGAGTGGCACCCAACTATTGGAATTAGTCTAGCATGTGGGAGAGTGACCCAGACCTCTAGAATTAGTTTCTAGCTTGCGGTTAGAGGTTGCACTCAACATTAATTATGTTTCACACCAACATATTTCCCCACCATTAAGGAGCCGATTACATCTACGTTTTGATTTACCGAAAGAAGAGGGCGCCACTCCGGCGTTTTTATTGCCACAATGAAATTCTTATTCTACTCCTTATGATCCCCCGCCCGCCGCCAGACGGCAGCCTCTCGCTCTCTCTCTCTCCCCCCATCTCCCTCTCTTTCCCTCACTCTTCCGTCTGCTGGTGTCGGGCGGTGCTAATGAAGCAGCAGCGAGGATTCACAAAGGCGAGAACCGCTGTTTGCAAGCCGCCAGAGCTGCAGATTACAATCTATTACCCGCACCGACGCAGCCGCGCGCGCGCGCGCGCACACACACACACACACACACACATCAGACGAACTCGCCGCGCACGCCGCATAAAACCGGGTTTTGGTTTCAGTTTCACGCCCGCGCCGAGAAAAATTCAAACCACGCGAGATGTCGCCTCGGCCAAACAAACGGGAAAGTATAAACCTTTTAGTGGAGATTAATGTTTAGCGCGAGAGACGCACGGGAACGTACGCAGACGTAGAAGTACGTACACGGATGAAGGAGGAGGCCCGTAGCTTCCGGTCGTGTGCTAAATCCCGCAGATTAAACAGCGCTGTCAGCGGCACTAACGCGCCGCAGCTGCTGCTCGCAACAAGCCCGGCCGCCACCACCGCGCGCCGCTTTAAAAAACAACGAAAAACGCCACAAAAGCCGAGAAGAGAGAGAGAGAAGCCAACTTGAGTTTTTACGCCGCTGCGCGCTCTCTCTCTCTCTCCCGGCAAGCTTGCGCGCCCGTGCACGCGGAACGCAGGGGGAGAGCCACACACGTGTTAGCAAGAGCGGCCGCGCGCGCGCCGGTGCACCCTAAAAACGAACTGCCAACTTACAAGCGTGTTTTCCCCGCCCTTCGCGTAGCTCTATGCTTCTTCGGCGTGTTTGCGCACATAGTTTTCGACGCGTGGTCGACACGGAGCCGTAAACTACAAAGGAACGGCGTGCCATGCACGAACAGCAGGCTTTTGTTTTTGTTCGGGTTCTTAGCTATACTTTCAGCTAATTATTAGCTCATCGTAAGTATATGGTACGATACGTCATCTTCTTCTCGTGATTGAACATTCTAGTCTGAGAGCTCTAGAGTGGCGTGCGTGTTTTTCGCCGTTTTTTTTTAGCTCGCTTTGACATCGTCAAGACGAGCTAATCCCATGGGGTGTCGTCCGTCGTACGTGCGTCCGTCAACATTTGGCTACAGTCAACGATAACTCAAGAACTGTTTGACCCACATGTTTCAAATTGCATATAGTTGTTACTCCTATGGGAGAGGTTTGAACGTCCTATTTTGGAGCACGCCAGTCGACCTACATTTGAGCAACGTCCACTTTTGGGAAAAAATGAAAATGGCCACAAGTCAATTCAGGTTAAATGGATTTTGCTCATTTCTAGTATGTGAATGAATAAGGATTGGTCCCCAAAACATATCACACAGGTTCTGATTTTTTTTAATTATGCAAATTAGGTAGATATTGGAAATTCCACTGCATTTCAGTGTCTGCCTACGGTCAACGTTAACTCAAGAACCGTTTGACCCACATGTTTCAAATTTCATGCAGTTGTTACTCCTATGGGAGAGGTTTGAACGTCCTATTTTGGAGCACGCCAGCCGACCTACTTTCGAGCCACGTCCACTTTTTGGCAAAAATGAAAATGGCCACAAGTCAATTCAGGTTCAATGGATTTTGCTCATTTCTAGTATGTGAATGAATAAGGACTGGTCCCCAAACATATCACACGGGTTTTTATTTTAATTTTGTTATTATGCAAATTAGATAGATTTTGGCAATTTCACTATGCATTTCAGTGTCTGCCTACGGTCAACGATAACTCAAGAACCATTTGACCCACATGTTTCAAATTGAATACAGTTGTTACTCCTGTGGGAGAGATTGGAACTTCTTATTTTGGAGCACGCCAGTCGACCTACTTTCGAGCCACGCCCACTTTTTGGCAAAAATGAAAATGGCCATCTAAATTAATTCGATTTTGTTAAATTTTGGTATGTGAATGTGTAAGGCTAGCCTCAAAACAGGTCAAGGTCAAGGTCAAGGTCAAGGTAAAGGTCAAACAAAGGTCGTAGTGACCTGGTTTTGGTAGCGCTAGGTCAATTAGAGGCCAAGTTATAGAGCGGAGGGAAAATATGATCAAGGTTAAAGTAAAATAAAGGTCGCAGTGACCTGGTTTTGGTATGCTGCTCCCCTTCTCCCCAAGATGTGTAAGTATACCAGGTTTGGTAGCGCTAGGTCAATTAGGGGTCGAGTTATAGAGCAGAAGGGAAATTGTCTGCGGCGGCGGCGGCGGCTGGGGAGACATGAAACCATAGTATCCCCGCCGACTTCGTCGCGGGGGATACAATTAATGCTCTCTTACTCTAATGCACTGTTTTATTCTCGTGATACTATTACAGTTGTCCCTGTTGTATTTGGACAACGAACCCCGAAAATGCCCCGATTACGACTTGTTCCCGATTAAGCGTTTTTGAACAATAATTTCGAAATCCCGTCTTTAAGTTAGCCGGGGTCCTGACCTGCCACCCGCACGTATAGCTTACCCGGGACCTGCCACATGTGCGCCCTCACGCGCTTAGTAGAAGCGAGTACCTAATGCTAGCCTATAATTTCGACAATTAATTTACAACTTGAACAAGTTACAGGACGAAGTGTGAATTTTAGTCCACAGCCAAGTACTCAGTCTACGTCTTCGCTTACCTGCTAGTGACTCTAAATGGTGACATCTCTTTCGAAACATGGTTGAAACACGGAGTGCCTGTGAGAGATGTGCAGCACACACAGCATCCGCAACACTAGCAGCCAACAACAGTAGAAGCCAACGGTATGCCAGGGAAATCAATAACTACATGGGCTAATATACATGTTGCTGTGCGCTGTGCGCTTACCGTCGTGACGTCACACACGATACCGCGGTCGATCGCAGCGCTCTGTCTGAGCCTGTGGGAAGCCCCACTCTTCCTCCAACATGCTGACATCATTGAGGGTGGCAGTTGACGTCATTGGATGATTACTATAAATTGATGTCTCTTGATAGATGTCTCATATTATAGCGGGCGTGACATTTTGGTTATATTAAAGTCGATTATATGAAGCTTGATATTGGTCACATGCGCACGCCATCAATCTTTAAATAGATATAAATAGGATCAGGAGTAAACAGAATTAATTATATCCGGGGAGAAAGAGACTTGTAATTTGCTATGGAGAGAAATGGTCAAGTGCATAGTGGGTCAGGACCCCGCTAATGTAGGCCAGATTTCAACGTGGTTAAAAAATTCGTCTCAACTAAAATAGCCAGTGTAAAATATTTTAATGTTGAAAGCACTATAATGCGAATTGGTTAAAACCATCAATGGAACCAACAAAACCCGGTTGGAAAAGAACTAACAAAAGCCATTACAGGCATGCAGCCACAATAACACCTTAATTAATGAATATTCCTAAAGATGAAAAGATGGAGCCTAACGTTGATCGAATTGACAGCTCATCACTGAGCTAGGATAGCAATAGAAATTCCAGACTCCACAGTCAGTGACTTTTTTGAAATTTAATTTCACTTAATTTAATTAGCAGCGCGAGGTTGCGAGGTACTGACGCCGCATAAGTATTGCTGATGAGGCCTGCAACAGAACGTGCTGTGCAGATCGAGTCTTCACATGGTAAGCCTTGGTAAAACTCACACCTGCTACATCAATCGCTATATATTTACGCTGTCGGGACTAATAGGATATCTTATCCCGGGTGCTTCCTGTGTAGCTATATATATATATACGTGCACCTATCACTATAGTAATAATTACTAAACAAGCTTGGATGTAGCCCTCAATCTTCCAAAGGGCACGACAGCCAAGCATCGATCTGGGGGCGTAAGAGATCAACAGGCTTTGCCACATTACACAGTGTCGACCGGTGGGAGTGTCAGACAGGGCAAATTATGTTTGCGTATTCCTGTACCTCTATATAATAATCAAACTGGACAATAAATTTTAGAATGAAGGAATTGGCACGTGGGCTTTCCGAGCCATCATTATCAAGAGTCCATAATAGAAAATAGAAAATTGCTTTTCTATTATGGACTCTTAATTTATCAAGATGCCATGCTTTTAGTAGTTTTACGTAAGATCGAACAGCACCACCTTTTGGACAGTATTGTGCAAATCAGTGATGTAGGCGTAATCAAATCTATAAAAAGAACAGGTGCAATGTGTCATCAACAGCAGTAAAAGCCATTACCTCTTTCATGATTAGGTTCGCTGTGTTTAGGCTCATTAGTTAGATCAAGTTAGCTGCATTTAGAGGAGGTATATTAATTGCTCCTCAGACGCGTGCGAGCGGACGCCTCGCGTGCTAGGTAACAAGCTCATGACGTCAAACTAGCTCCTTGACTAGCCCCAAACAGTCTCTGGTGACCTGATTTTGAGAAACGGAACCCAAGACAGTAGCTTGCTGTGCTGTTGCTGAACAACAGCAGAGCACGTATATTACATATATACGTATATATGTATATATATGTATATGATATACGTATATATGTATATATATACGTATATATGTATATATATGTATATGATATACGTATATGATATACGTGCTCTGACTATAGCAACTACATCAATACTTTCCGATTTTGGCTTGGTAGATGCATGGACATGCGTCAACGCGTTAAATGACATCAGAATAACCAATGTTCGCGGTTCAGTGTGACTGCTATGCTGGGGACAGAGCTAAAAGCGTTAATAGACAGCCTCCCAGAATTTTGCCAAGTATGTAGATAGTTTGTTCTTATATAACCGTTCATGATGATGTGTCACACATGATCACTAACACAACGTCATCGCGCAAAACCTCCAAGTATCTATGTGCCGGTATATGTATCTGTATGCATTTGCAATAAAATATGACCTCGCCCCGCCATCTATCGGGAGTAAAAATATGAATGTTTGTTATTTTATGTTCTCGTACTTGTCGGTGTACACTACACTGGATATAATGACAAGGTAGTAAGTGCCGGCTTCACGTATTCAGTTCGGATAAACCCAATAAACAAACAGGTGCATAATGATGTGAGTGCAATGCAACTGGTGTCCTCTTAAAGTGGGTTCGCGTGCATGTGGGAGTGAAGCCTTGACTTAAAAATGTCAACGTCCGTTGCTTCCACAACACCCACGGGTAGGTTGTTCCAGATTGGAATCATCCGGGGTAAAAAGGAGAATTTGAATGCGTTGTATACCTGCCTCTAAGGGTTCAACTATGTAGGTACTCTAGGTTCAACTAGATAGGAACATAATATCACGAGTGAATAATGTAGATTCATTTTTATTCTATTAAAGATCTATTATTAATAGATATATGATTATTTACTCCTGATAATATTAATACAACACATAATACTACTATAATTATATAATAGTATTATGAGCTATAATGACTACAAGCAACGTGACAGTCCTCTATGGTAGAGCAGTAGGAAGATTCACTCACTCTACTAGTTATGGCCTATAACAATACACAGTCTGAAAGCATTACAAGCCAAGTAAAACTCCTACATCAACTACACAGTAAGGAACCAGGAAGAAACTCAGCTCGCTGAAAGGAATTACTTACACAGGAGCAAGAAGGCTCAGCAATATATAGAAAGCATAACGACGGAGTACAGGTGTTTCAGTCCAAACAGAACCTTGTTTTTATTTATACATAACTTTACACTTATTTAACAGCACAGCACACAGCGCCATACCTTACTCATCAGTGTTCTGCACATTATAGAGAGATGCTATACGAGTCATACTCTCACGACAGTGCGATGATAACAAACGCAACAAGAAATAACTGAAATATAGATAATCGCGTCAACTTTTTAGACGTATGTAGTATCTAATGTGGGCACAGTACAATAGTATGCTGTCGAAATAGTTGTGTAATTGAATGCAAGGGAAAATCCATACAGAACTAATGCAAAGAATGGCAACATGAGAACGAATTGTGTGGTGCACCGTGCATACGCACGCAAGTCTAACAATTGTGTTATAACAGTTTAAACATTTCACTGAACAACATTAGGCACCACAGTCTATAGACGTGAGTTGAAATGACGTGTTGTGATGCACTTAGATAAACACATGATATTACACGTACATTCTCCACTCCAAATGATACATGCACGAGAGGAATAAAGCTTGGCTAAAATGTTCATAGGCATTTACTTACCTACGCAAATGGCAGGAATTTGCGAAAGTGAATACTTCAGTAAACCACTAAATATGTATTTCAAATCAACAACTGGTTTTCTAGTAATAAATACCATGATACCGTAAACTACTTATAATAATGCATGTTACATTATGTCGAGCGGCATATAATCAACCGAGGAGTTGCTGAACACACTGAAACGTGATCATTTCCACAAGATAAATACTAAAAACTGCAATATTGAACTGATAAGTCGATGCAGACAGGCGTACCTCCTAGAGAGCCCGACCGAATGATATAACTAAGAGAAAAATCCCTCTGCTTGAGCATTTCTTTATGCGCTGAGACAATAGCAGCTGCAGATATAGACGCTATAGACAGATGATGAAGAGAAATAAAACTCTAACTCTGTACACGTCAACTAGAGGTAGAATGTGATGCAATCTAGTTACAATATAATTATCAAATACTCCATCTCTCGGGCCGATTGGTAAAATAAGAAAAAATGAATATTTTCATAATATAAAGCAAGGTCTGCAGCCACTACAAAAATAAACCTCTCGCTCTGCCGCGGACAACACCCAATTTGAACATTACTCCAAGTGTGTAGGGTTCCCTTAGATAACACTGACGCTAGCAATACGCTTTTAAAACTGAGCTGCAATTACATACAACGTTCCACGTGAGGTCTTTGGTCTTACTTACCATTAGGCAAAGTCAACAGCAATAAGAAAGAACACGTAAATACAACAGAAATTCAATAAATGAGCAGGAGTACGATGACAAGGAATTTTCATCTTACTCCTGATATGATCATTATAAATGCTAGTGAGTTCGCAACAACTGAAGGAGATCCCCACTGAGATGAATATGGCTGTATTGCCACAGTTGCTACCTTAGCGAAAATGCAGCTACACAGTTTTGTAGTAGCCTAAACATAAATACAAGGATGCGTGAGTCACACTACGTCAGAAAATCCGTATTTCAAGACTTTCTCATACGTAAAAACGTTGGAAGTGTATTAACAGAAACGGCAAGGCCGCCATTTTAAAAATATAAAAGTACTTATTTTGTCGAATCTCGACTTTTACTTTAGAGCTATAATTTAAGATATAGTAGTACTTCAAATACTTGTTTCTTTCTTCACAGACGCATGCACACATGCACAGTGTGGTGCATGCACGCGCACACATATATACATACATACATACTGGTGTAACAACAACGCTACACATACATACACGTATAGTATACAGCATGGAGTTCTAATTAAAATACTTAACTATATTCGACCTCATAAGCATTTTGATATATGCTATTCATATTAATATCAGCTTTCCGGTGCTCAGTAAACTATCCATAGCGTTTACGTGTGAAATATCTATTTACTACATTTCCTATCTAACTACATAACATTAAATACAACTTTTAACATATTCACATGAATACTGATAAGAGATATAGGCCACACATGAAACTTATGCACGATATGCATAAAGTTTTCCATTTGCCTTCAAACAATGCTGGTTAACAGGGCATTTAAGATACGTCTCATGGTCTTACTCCTGCTATAGACCAATCATAATAAATAGTTTTAAATCTCGCAATTTCACGTAGTTCTAGACATTGGAATAGTATTATAATTGCTCTCCAGATTCTTGCTCCATTATGTAACTGATCATAGTGATCAATTACAAGATAAAACTGCTACTTATACCCTACTGAAATTAGAATTTGAGGTATCCGCTGGTAAAAATGTTTTTAACTGGTGATATTACCAGAACTTCAAACTTCCAGAATAATTTCCGTACTTTGTCTCTGGATACTACAGAACACAATGACCTAGCTTAATTGAAATAAAATCTCATATTAAACCGAATGCAGAGGTAATGCATATAATCCTAGCCACACAGACGTGAGTTTGCTGATATTGTTATTATAGAAATTAAAATAAACCTGCTTTCCAACGTATTTTGCCAATTTTGTTCCTACGAGTGACGAATACAAGTACTAAGTATGATCGTATCCTTGCAGACTCCCGGAGCATTAATAATCCAGCTTCTCACCGGCTCCCCATGACGACAGACAATGCACAGCACACTAGGGCAAGCAGCCTACTAATAGTGGACAGCTGACACGCAGCTGCCGCGTGATTACTGTGTCTGTTCCATTCAAAAGGCTTCGTCATATCTCCACTATCGGTACTTGTTTGCTGATAGGTGGCGCTGCAATGCAAAAATAGGTAAGGTACTATTACTGATTGCCCACCTAGTTCTTCACACACTCTTCCCTTTAAATGTTGTTTACCTATTGCCAAAAATTAATTAACTATATTGTAAATTATTTGTATTAATGCATTATTTAGGTAATACTTACGTTGTACTTTTAATTCTCACCCACAATTCATTGAATTTCTTCTCTGGTTCTCTGAAATAAACACATTTATTAAAAATAACCAAACATTAGACTGGAATTCATGTAGCATTTGGCAGCATAACTTTAATTAAGTATTAAAAAATAACGGAATATACACTTTACGGCAATAGTTAATAATCGAAAACTTCACAAACGCATAGGCGATGGATGAGTGTAGAGATTTATTGTACTTGAAAAACAAACAATAATTAAACAACCTAGGATGTACATGTATATGCACATGTATATACGTATACGCAGACTATACATGCATGTAGATTCTCATATTATAAGAAGCAGGCGACAACATACCGTGTTGTGGAGTCGATCCTGACCCAGAGGTCATTGAAGTTCCTCTCTTTTGCTCTGGATGGTTGCTGCTCTCCTGTGAGACTCTCCTTAGACAGAGCACGTGTGACTGGCAGCTCTATGTTCTTCTCTGGTTCCGCTACCTGCAGCCTCTGCTGCCGTGACCGCTGCCGCTTGCTTCCCTTTACCCTCTTTCTGTACAACACACAAGGACGACTGCTGTAAATAAATTCCTCGATAGGTCGGCCATCTTACTCCGAGTTTGTTCGTGTCTCGGATGTTTGCACATGGAGGCGGGCTAAGCAGAACTTTATCTCATCAGCAACACACATTACCAGTGTATCAATCAAAAGGTGCCAATTTATCAGGGTTTCATTTCTCCCCGTGTCAGGCCAGCCCGATTTCGGAGGCCTTCGCCCGTGCAGTACACATTACCAGTGTATCAATCAGAACCTCTCAATTTATCAAGGTTTCGTTTTCCCCGCATACGACGAGAGGTTTCGGCTGCGTAGAAGATTAATTATTCCAGCTAACCAATGAGGGAAAACATGTTTGAATTTTGCACTCAAAGGCCGGCGCCTAAAGTAAACTTACATCTTCTTGGCAGCTGTCGTGTGCTCAACATCGTACCCCGTTGCTCGCATTATATCTATCACAGTCTGGTTGCCAAGGAAGTGACCTGAAAGGTAAAAGTAATCGTGCTTAAAGTTTGCAATGGAAAGTATGCGCATGTCGAACTCAAACATATTTCCTGGTTTTTATCTTGAACGCTGCAGAACATTTACACGAAATGTGACGTTTCACTTTAAAATTGGATAGATTTAATTCTAATTAGGTAAGATTTATTTTCTAGTTATACAAGTGAGAGAAGTATGATTCCTCTAATACATAATACTATAAAACTATATACATGACTCGCAAAAAAAGGGGAAAAAGTAACATAACACTGAAATCATATTACACAATAATACAGTTCTTTCTGATACTGCCAAAAGAATATCAAACACAAAATTTATGAGAATGTATAAATCAATGTTATAATTTCCTGGTTCAGCTACATGCTACATGGATGCAAGGCTATCGCCACCGCACGACTTAGCCGCTCCCACAATGCAGTGGGATGCTGCGAAAACGTAGAGGGGACGCTGCGGAAGGATGCTGTAGATTATCCTAGATTAAGACGCATCATGTCATATTTATTTACAGGAAGCGCTGCGGGTATGGCTGCGACACAGATGTGGGCAGGAAGAGAGGGGCGGAGCCATCAGCTACGAACTGATAAGTGTTCCCAGGAGACACTGGCAGCGACCGGCTGTGAAGTTACCAGCGATTACATAACATTCCTCTACGAGACACAACTAGCTTCCTATCAAGAGAAAGACCCGAGACTCTGGATAGTTGATTGACAGCCTGAATCGCATCGCTGCTCGGTTTCTATAGCAATCTGTTGTGTGCACATTGATAGCGCTCTATTCTATTTCGCACGCAAGGCCTGCGATTCATTTGGGAGCGATTTCAAAAGAACGAATCACTGTTAGCTGCTGAAGAAAGGCAACGCACGCTGAACCGACGCGTAAAACTCAAAATTTATTAACTTTTGCACAATGTCCGTGCCATTAAACGATGGGTGCCGTCGCACTAGTCGGACATAATGAAACGTTTCAGTAGTCATTTCGGTTTGCATCGAATGAGTACGAGTCGCCTTCAGACTTGTCAATAGCTGTTGAGCAGGGAGGAGAGATAGTAGGAGGACTGACCGAGGACGCATAGGAGATATGCTACGCTACCAGTGTATATTCGAATCGAGTCCTGCACATGTATGTAGGTAGGTACGCGCACGAGTCTCCGTGCCACGTTTGGGTGGCTGCAATGTACGGCTCTATGGTATATATAGACGCTCTACCATGTGTTCACAATTACGGAAGATTCTTTAAACAGTGCCATGTGCAAAACATGCCGCGGTGTAAGACAGGAGGAAATAGCTTGGGCTTCGAACAAACCGACATCTTCAAAACTTTAGGATACCCATTAGAAATGGAAAAGATTCCCCTCAGAGCACACGCACGCACGCACGCACGCACGCACGCACGCACGCACGCACGCACG